TTTTGATTAAATTGCTTCTCTTTCTTTAATTGACAAATAAAAATTGTATATATTGATGGTATGCAACATGATGTTTTGATATATGTATACATGCGGAATGGCTAAATCAACCTAATTAACAGATGCATTAATAGGAATACAATCTATTATTATTAACTGTAATCACCATGTTGTACAATTGATCTCTAGAACTTATTCCTGTTGTCTAACTGGAATTTTGTATACTTTGACCAACATCTCCCCGATACCTTCCCCCAATGCCCAACCTGCTGGTAACCACCATTCTACTCTCTGCTTTTAAGAGTTTTGTCTTTTTTTGGATTCCACACATAAGTGAGATCATGAAGTACTTGTCTTTCTGTGCCTGGCTTATTTCTCTTAACATAATATTCTCAAATTGCTGATCATTCTGATTTCTTATTAATAAATTCACAATTTTACCAATCAACCAACTCATTTAAAGACAATAGTTATAGGCCAGGAGCAGTGGCTCATGCCTATAATCCTAGCATTCTAGGAGGCCAAGGCAGGAGGATTGCTTGAGACCAGCCTAAGCAAGAGTGAGGCCCTATCTCTATTAAAAATAGAAAAATGAGCCAGGCATCATGGTGCATGTCTATGGTCTCAGCTACTTGGGCAGGAGGATTGCCTGAGCCCAAGAGTTTGAGGTTGCACTGATCTACGATGCTGCCACTGTACTCTAGCCAGGGTGACAGAGCAAGATTCTGTCTCAAAAAAAGAAAAAAAAAAAGACACCAGTTATACACTAAATTTCAATAGAAAGATAGTTCATTGCCCATTGTGATATAATAAAACTATTATGAGATTATTTATTATTATAACTTTTAAAATTCAAAAACAGTAAACATTTGTTGAGAAATTACTATGCTTTATCTCTTTAGCAAGTCTTACTTAATTTTCACCACAATAGCATGGGGCTGGTGGTGATCTGTTGCCATTTCACAGATGAGGAAACCAACAATTACTAGGAGTCATGGAGCCGGATCACACATTCTGGCCTATCGGTCTTCGAAGCCCTTGCTTTTTATCAATATTAGCTTTCGTAGTGGGATTGGCTTATTTTAAGTCCCTGATGAGTAACAGGTAGACCTAATATTAAAATCTAGCTTTAAAGTCTCCAGATATTCACAAGTACCAGCATTACAGAGAGAATAAAATAGCATAAATTTCTCTCCAATCACTTCTTGGTGCTCTAGTGCATGAGATGACATTAAAATCAGTTGAAGAACTTTCACCAAACTATGCACAGCCCAATGATTCCACATGGTCCACGGAGTCCACAAGTAGTTCCAGAATCGTGGTGAGGGAAATATCTGTGTCTTAACCCTCTCCTTCTCCAGAAGACCCTGATTATCAGAGCCTTCTAAAAGACAACAGGGCAAAAGTGGGTTCTGTGATTCAGATCTGCCACTAAAACAAATATTCCCTTCAAGCCAAAGATCTTAATTAAGTTCATTCTCCAAACTACAACAACAGGAGTATGTAAAAACTGCATTTTTATCTATTATCACTTATTCTTTGCTATATGTGGCTCTTAATCCATATATTCATATTTATGTAGTTATAAATTCTAAAGAGGAAACAAAGCTGTTTTACCGGAGTATGATGGCTGAATGCATCAAACCAAATAATCAGTGATTACTCTAACTGTGGGGAAAGGAATGCTACCAGACTTTGAAGTAATGCTCCATGAATTGTCTATCATCTGGGGAAGAGAAAATCGGGATCACACCTATGGAACCAAGAGGGTCACATGGCAGCAGGTAAAGGTGAAATGGGAATTAAAGAAGGTGTTGACACACATCAAATAGGGCAGCCGACAGTCCGGCAGCCTGAACCTCTGAGGACATGAAACCCTGTTTGGTCTTGATTAATGCCTTTACATACATCTGTTTTCATCCCCTCAAACAGTGAGTTCACTGGGATGGAAAATCAAAGCTTTAGAAAAATCAATTGCACCTACCTGGATAAGAGATAGATCCTCAAGCTTCAACCTGAAGAGGTAGTTTCTACAAAATAGAAAAGAGAGCAGGTTTATTTTTAATAGATCCAAACATGTTACAGTGTATAAAAATTTTAAGAACAAAGGAAAAAAATTAATAATTTTGGCTTCAAAAGCACCCTCCTTTTAAGAATACGTTTAACACAGTTTTCCTTGGACCTCAGAGAACAAAGAGGCATTCAGTACATCAACAGCCATGCGTTTGACATCGGTGAGAATGCCAACAAATAAGTGATGTGTGTGTGTGTGTGTGTGTGTGTGAGAGAGAGAGAGAGAGAGAGAGAGAGAGAGAGAGAGAGAGAGAGAGAGAGAGAAAGACTAAAGTAAGGGTAAGTCATTAATTGACTCTCTTGAGCTATGTGGAACAGAAAAAAGGGCATTCCATTCTGAAACCGCATTAAACTTAAGACGATATAAAACTCTTCCTCATGAGTCTCCATTCTTACTCATCACTTACATTCACCATGTTTCATAATTAAGATTTTACATTCAACCAATGGTCTGAATATTTCAGTACTTTGTCTTTTTGGATGGATTCAGAGTATAAGTTTAGAAATATGAATTTGTCAGTCTACTCCCCCAAAAGCAGCTGCCATCAAAGGTTTGAAAGAGTCAGTTCTGCTATCCAAGTATAAAACAGAAAATCAGAGAGAAGAAAACTATCAATTTTTTCAGTACTACAGGGGAAGAACAGTGAAATATGCAATTGGGATTAGAAGAGCACAGGGGAAAATAAACATAAATGTCAGTTACATCATATTTGAACTATACTGCTGTAGCTTTTGGAAAGAACTAACTGGCCTCCCTCACTGTGTGATGCTCCGGCCTCTAGCTGAATGGGTGAGAGACTCCTCACCATCAGGTGGGTGAGAGGCTGGGGCAGCAGCACTCCAGAGAGGAAAACAGAAGAAAGTCAGCCCAGGTGGGCTGGACAATAATGGCAGGAAGAAATTGGCACATGATGAAAAGTAGACCCTAAGAAACAAATGAGCATAGGGAGGGCTCTCCAAGAAGCCAAGGGACCAACCCAAGATCACTACTATAGCACTAAGAGAGGAATTTTCCAACATCAGTAAGAAACAAACAGAGGCTATTTTCACCATTGCAGTGGGGGATAGATACAACAGCTGAACATCATGTCCCAGTAGAAGTGACAAATGACAGCAGATCCAGCCCAGGGGCATAGCCTTAGAAGGACCAAGAAACATCACTATGGTTGTGGACAGAGTTAGGGAGGAGAAAGCACCCTGGAGGCTGACATTCAGTAACACGTGGACACACACAGCTGGAGGATGAAAAGGGACTAAATTCACTTTTAGGGTGGTCTCAGAAGTCAAAGGCATTGCCTCCTGAGCACTCGGGTTTCTTACATTTTTCCCTCCAGCACTAGTGTACTGTCATCCTGCACTGAGTCAAAACTGCCTCCTCCAAACCACTGCAATAGCGTCTTCACCACACTTCCATTTAACCTCTGATATACAACAGAGAAGCTTCCAGAAGCACTGCTTGGCACATGCCGCTTCCACCACAAAGCCACTTCCAGAAAATCTCTGTCTTTTATTACAATTGAGCCATAGCCCTCTGTGCAGGACCAGATTAAGGATGCCTTTGAGGGGAGAGAATATCACAGGAGAGTCTATGTTTATTTAGACGGCATCGTGACGAGGTAAGGTCTCCAACAGAAATGTTGCCTTAAGGGGAAGGAATGTGGGCAGTCAAGCTGCCAAGGTACGCACCACTGGAGGCTAGCTAGCATTTCGAGATTTGCCAAGCTCTCACATGTGACACAGAAACCAGCATACCTCCCCTAAGGGAAGTGAGAAATCTACACACACATATATAAGTCTTTCAGAAGAGGGGCTTACAAGTGGCACCAGAGGCAATTACTGGCCATAGTGTACCCATCACCTCTGTGAGTGTCTCAGATCCCTGCCCTCACACCATTTTCCACTTGGCTTTCTGGATTCAGGAGGCTATAACTTCTACTGTGGGACGCAGTATTACCCAGTGGTTAAGAATATCCATGCAAAAGCTGGAGCTTTGCCATCATACAACCTTAGGAAGGAAGCTGAACCACTCTGTGCCCAGTCGTCCCATCTACAAAATAGAGCTAATAATCAGACCTACCCCCCTAGGGTTGTTGTGAGGCTTAAATTTAAGGAAAATACTTAGAATGGTATCTGACCCATTGTAAGCACGCAATTAATAGTAGCAACTTCTAGTTAGTTTATGAAAAATATTAAAATGTCTGGACATGTTGAAATTCTGAGCATTCTCCATTGCACAGGGAAAGGAAGAGTGGATCTGCCCCCCAGCAACTGTAGGTTAGGAGCCCAATTACCTTCCTTGTTCACCTATTAAGATTGTTGTTCGTAAGGACGGTGGTGGTGCTACTGAGTTTTTAGAAAAGTAGACAACATTGTTTATATTGTCATTGGTCCTGAATCCAGTCATCCCACCCTTTTCCAATCCACTGGCGATTTTAACAAACATTTTTTTCTGTAAATATTTCCGATAAAATAAACCCTTCATATGTTTGGTCGGTGAATTACTTAAGAGCTTTTGTGATATCCCAAGGCCATCTCTTTCTCTCATACTTACACACATGTTTGTGCACAGGCATGTTCACACTACAGTATCCATCTCTGGGAATTTTCTTGAAAAGAAGCTCTCTTTCCCAAAGGAAGAGCTAGAAGTGCCCTCAGGCCATTGAGGGAAAGGATGGCAGTACCGATGATTTTCTGTAGAGCTCTCAGCAGGACAACTGGAGAGAAAAGTTCAAAGCCCTCTCTCTACTTGGGAAATGGATGGAAGGAGGCATAGACATCACTGTCTGCAACCCCTGGTTCCAGTTTTCAGGTATTTTCCATAGGAGAGGACACTGGCTTATGATGACAAATCTGCCACAGTCTCAGTCCACATCTCCCCAAGTAAATATAACCATTCTGGCCATTACATTTCCACTTCCCAGGTCCCAACAGCCCTCCTCTCCATGAACAATGTCAGTGGGTTTGAACCATCCAACTTTCCTTCTACCAAGTGCCTGAGAACTGTGGTACCCTCCCAATGACCTCGTCGGTAACAACAAATCAATATGGTGGCAGAGACATTCAGCAGGAGAAAGAAAGAGGCAGAGAGCAGGGGCATGCTTACGAGAAAAGAGACCACAGTTATTGTGAGATACCACCACCACCACCACCACCACCACCACCATCACCATGCCCAACACTCCAACCAAGAGAAGCACCAAGGAGGAGTTGAACTTTTTCTTTGGTCGTATTTTCTGGGTCACAATATCCAAGTCAGTGACTTTTTTAACCCCTTCTCAATTTTCTTAATCTATAAAAGAAAAAAAACATAGAATCCAAAATAAATATCCAGTAACAGGACAGTGGTAAAAATACATTATAGAAATCATACCATGAAGTTAATAAGCCAATTATAGAATAGTGTACATTTGGCTAA